ATCCATCTTTTCAAACATTAAAGATTTGTCATAAAATCCGATGACAACACAAATGGTTAGGCAAACATTACAAGCAACACCAAACTTCACATGTTGATTTTGAAAGTTCTTGTATCGAATCCACGTTTTAATGGGCGAACAGCCCAACCCTTGGACCATACTACAACCCTAGGTAGCGAAGAGTCGAAATCGAGGTACCAAACCTTCCCGCTAGTGATGGCCAAAAATCGGTCCCAAACTTTCTCATAACCGGCCATAACTGGTCCCGGTCTCAATCGAAAATGGTAGGACCGGTCAAGGTATTTCATAACCGGTTATGGGCAGCTCGTTCCGGTCCCAATCCCATCATTAAAAAATAAGATTTTTTTTAATATATTTTAAAATTTACAATTAGGTCACTCAAATACACTTTAAAAATACGTTTTAATATAATTAAAAATTACATTGTCTCATAAAAATATGTTTTAATATAATTAAAATTACATTGTCTTATAAAAATACATTATAAATTTATTTAAAAATACATTTGTTTATAAAATTATTTGAATTTTCGGGCCGGTCCTAGTCTCACGAAACTACCAAAAACCTCAACCGGTCCCGGTTTTCAGGCCGTGCCGGTCCTAGTCCCGGTCCTCCAGCAGTCCTGGGTCGGGCCGGACCGATTTGGCCATCACTACTTCCTGGTGATGTGAGCTCTTGGGGAAAATCAGTATGTTATTCCTTTTCGTCAATTATCTATGGTCTTGTAAAATCAGATTTATTTTGTTTGATTTCTTTAAGTGCCTTCTAAAAAATTTATAATTTTTTTTAGTGTAGTTTAAAATTAATTCGAACTTTACTGATTATACTGATAAAGAATTAGATACCAGAAGTTTTAAAAGAGACCTTTTAAGGTACGATGAAACTATATGTGCCACAATTGATATGTTGAATAATGGGACAAACAGATAAATCTTTTAATGGCTCAAAATATGTCGAGTTATTGAAAAGAAAACAATATATTCTAATTATAGTTATGAGCGGTTTTGATTAAAAAATAATAGTATATGAAATTACTTAATTCGATAGAGTTTTTGGGAGTCATCAGCCTGTTATCCTCAACGTACCTTATTTATATTTAATTATTAATTATAATTATGAATGCGTAATTGTGTTTTCAAAATTATATGAGTAAATCACTTTCATTTCAATCAAATTATAAGAGAATAATTTAGAATAATAGAAAAGATAAAAGAAAAAATTAACAAAAATACTGTTAATTATCTCATTCGTTGTCGATAATTTATCTTAAACAAAATTATAAAAAACATAATAATGATCAGATATTCATAAGGACTAGGCCTCGGTTTGGTCCTCGTGGACCCGATTCTAATGGTAAAAACAGTTCTGTCTAGAGGTGGTTAAATGGGCCCGGGTCGGCGAAGGACTGGGACTGGGACCGACTTAGGACCGGTCCATCCTGGGACTGCCGGCTAAGAACCGCTTATGGTTTTCATCAAAAAACAAGGCCCGACCCGGTTTACGACCGGCCCAGTTTTTTTTCAAAAAATATATATTTTAAAATGTATTTCTAACTTTCTAAGTGTATTTGATTGAAAATCAAATTACAAATTTACAATAAAACATATTTTTTAAGTGTATTTAATTGAAAACCAATTATAAAACTATAATAAAACGTAATTTTTAAATGTATTTGATTGAAAACCAATTATAAAACTACAATAAAACGTATTTTTTAAGTGTATTTGATTGACCTAATTAGATATTTTAAATTGTATTAGAATAACATTAAAGTATTTTTAAAAATTTATCAAAAAGAAATTTAAAAAAAAAAGAAAAAAAAGAAAATGTTTTTCTAATATAGTACTGGTTTGGGCCAGGATCGGTTACCGTAACCGGTTATAACTACCCTTAACCGAGCCTTAATATTTTCGACCGGACTGGGACCGACATTGGTCGGGATTGTTACTGTTTTAGCCCAGGACCGATTTAAGCCCGACCCGGCCCGCGACCGGTTTTTGGCCATGTTTAATTCTGTCATTGGTACGAAAAATTGAATTGGTTTAGACCTGACAATCATATGGACAACTATTGACTAGACCTGATTTCATTCTGAAGTCCATTGTCATTTTCCCCGAAGCAAGTCAAATCCTTCATTATACAATTTTTTTATTGGTCCGGTATTTTTAAACTGACATTTGGTCCAAAAAAATAGGATTCATTCGGGTTTGAAAGGACTGGAATGACCCTAACAGTCGAAATCCTTTTTCGTCTGGTAATCAAAAAACTTGGATTGATTTTTACCATAACAAATTAGTTGAACGAATGTATATTAGCTGTTTTATAGGATACTATTGAGAAGTGTCATGTGAACATATCTTCTTATAGGACATTTGTTTTTATAATACACTTTTCAAATAGTATTATATAAAGTAAGGGGCCGTTTACCCAATTGCTTATCCGGTAAGCACTTACCGATAAGAGTAAACACTATGATTTATTTTGATGCACAAGATTTTAGTACATCAAAATATATCGAATGCAACAATTTACTGGGTAAGTACTTACTTGAGTAAGAGTCGTCATCCTCATTTACCGGGTAAGACTCTCCATCATTCTCATCGCTCTTACGTGGTAAGATTCTTGGCCCTTCTCATGTTCATCCGATAAGAAATTTTATCCGGTAACCACTTACCAAGTAAGTCTTTAGTAAACGGCCCCTAACGAATGTTCGAAAAAACTTGTTACGATGCATAGAAACATCCTATAAACCTATTACAAATTCACTAAAAGGCTCTCTGAAATGGAGAGTACGTAAGAATCAAGGGGTGTTTGTGGTGCGATGCTATATGGTTTAGAGCCAAACCCACAAACCAAACCGCATATGCGGTTTGAGCGTTTTTTTCGAACCATAAACCAAACCATACATGTCTCAAACAGCAAAATACCACAATGCAAGAAGCTAATCTATTCAATTGTCAACAATCTAAGCGAATTTGAGAGTTGAGAGTCAGAGCTTTTCAATTTAAGAACTGAGAGTCGAGTTTGGTCGTTTCTGTAGTTCTCTATGTCTACGTTTAAAAAAATGCAGGCTTACGTTTGCAGGTGCAACAAGGACCGATAAGTGCATGTAATAATTTGCTAAGCAAACTTATAATAATTATTTATTATAATAAAAACATATTATATAGCTATATATAATTGATAAAAATAATTTGCGATGTGGTGTGGTTTGAACTGTGGCTGGGGTAGTTGAAAACCGCAAATGAAACTACATGATGCAGTATAAAAAACCAAACTACATGGTGCGGTATAAGAAATACAAACCGCAACAGTATCGCTAATGTCCCAAACCGCACAGTTTGGTGCGGTGTTGGCGGGATAAAAACCCCTAAAGTCCCGTTTGGTTTGCAAGATTGTTTTTGAGGGATTTGGGTTTGGATTGGAATGAATTTGAAATCATTAGTGTGTTTGGTTTGTAGGATTTGAAATGGAATTGAATTTTATTATTTATAAATAATTTATAGAAAAAATTATAATTAAATATATAAATAATTGAATTATATTTTTATTAATTGATTATTACAAGACAAATGTTTTTAAGATTTTTTAAAGCCTTATTGCATACAATTCTACGAATGATTTTGAAAACCATTAAGAGGCAGATTTTTTTTTAAAGACGATAACGTTTTTATTTTTAAATAAAATATAAATATGTTTTTATTTTTAAATAAAATATAAATATGAATATATCATTTTAATTTGACAAAAATATATCGATATTATTATCAAATTAACTATTTAAAATTTCTCATTTTTTGTGTAATTTTTAATTCAATTTTTTTATTATAATATAATTTAGATTAAATAATAAAGTAATTTATATTTGGTTTAATAATATAAGTCTTTTATAATAATAATAATTAATTATTTTATTAGAACTCAATAATTATATTTTAGATTTTATATATTTTAAAATGAGATGTTTATTCTATATTTGAGTATGTTCATTCACAATTAATTACACAAATTCAGATATGGAGCGTTAATAAGTTATATTTATGCATAGTTTACTTGTAATCTTGAAATTTAAGTAATATGCATCAATAAATAGTAATTCATGCATAAAAAATGGTTTTTAAGAGTTTTAATCAAATACTTTATAATATAGTATAGATAACTTGTGAAATAACTATTTTTTTAACCAAAAGTAACTAGTTTACTAACAAAATAACTAGTTTTCAATTAACAAGTAGTTTATCATAGCATTGATGATCAAGATTTGTGATAAAAAATCAGTTTTTTAAGTATATAATATTTATACACTATAAATAATACAAATAAACTTACACACCCTTTTTACATTTTGTGAGTTTTGAACCCCTGACTTGCTAAGAAGTCAAATACTCAGATACCGCTAAGCCAAATGTCGTTTGTTAAAAAAAATCCCGGTTGTTGTATGCAACATTACACGCGACTAGCAACTTGCGTATATAGAGTAGACCCACGATACATGGAAAAGCGAGTCGGAACCCAGCTTAATGAAGTCATATGTTATGTCGAGGAACTCTTGTGCAACTTCCGGTACAATAAAAACGACTTTGGACGCTATTTGGTGAAGTTGTGTTACTTAAACCGGAAAGATCGAACAACTCCACTAGAACTCGTCCATTATTGGTTTCAAGTTTTCAGCCACTCGTATAAAGCCAGTTAGGTCAAAATTTATTGGTCCCCTTCGTTTCTTTCCGGTTTTGGCAAGTTTGAGCACCTAACGTGAACGGAATCTATAATCTGATACAACTTTCGTAATTCTCGTTAGATCTTTAATGAAATACGAATTCCCCATCTTTCTACAGATGTATACTATCATTCGAATACTGAAATCACGTAAAATTTACAGTTCTTTTAATATCTGTACGTGAATTAACTTTATATCAAAACTCATGATATTTCGATTATTAAACGGTTTATAAACTTGTATTAACATCTTATATCACAAATTCAGTTAATAACTAATGACGGATTAACATATAACCACTATTTACCTCCTTTTGTACCCCTCCTAAAAAGGGGCAAAAAACAGAGACTTTCCGGCAAGGCATCATCCCGATTCCCTCCGGTGACTTTTTCAAAACCCTATCAAGCTTGTGTTACCAAGTCACCGGAGCTGATAAATGTCCCGTGGAAACCGTACGGAACTCTCGATGGCAGCTTCACCGTCGCTTCTAATTCCAGTGTCTTTGAATTCACGATTTGAAGCTCTGATTCCCATCTCTGCTCGTCGTGGACGAAGGCTAGTATGTGACCGTCGTCTTCCTCCTCAGAATTGGAATCGATGGGAAGAAACAGAGGCTCGCCGCCGTATTTTGATTCACCGTAGATGAATTTCCTGGTTTCACCGGTGGAGAGGTCTACTTTCGCGAAGCCGGAAACCTTCGGCCATGGCTCCGCCACCGCGAGGTAAGCGTATTTGGATTTCCGGCCGAGGAGGTTTTTGTTCACCATTCCTGCTTCTAAATTGACGTCATTTTCAGGTGAGATTATCTCCCGGCGACTGGATTCTCCGGTCGTTAAATTCAATCGGATTTCCGATAAGACGCTTTTTAATTCTTCATCACATTCGTTGAAAATGGAGTCCGCCGGAGTCATGCAGGATCCGATCACGACAACCTCGCCGGTTTCCGGTTCTTCCCAAGCGTTCCAAAGATGGAAACAGAAACAATCCGAAACTTCTACCCATTTTATATCCGACCCGGATGAGGAGTATTTACTTAAAACCCCAAAACGTGATACCTTGTTTTTGTCGTACACTACCGGCGACCCGCCGGTGATCATTTCCGACAACTTGAAAACCACCTGGTGGTCGGGAACCACCACGAAATTCTCCGTGATAGCGAAATCGTGAACCATCGTCGGCTTTTCCAAATCGATTGCTACATCTTCCGATTTAATTCCGTCAGGTGAAAACCTGAAATACTTAAGGTATGGCTTCTGGACGACGTCGTAACTCAGTGCGAATAGTTCACCGGAAACAGGGTCGAGTTTTGGGTGTGCGATCATGGTGGACTTCAATTGCTCGTCGAAGTTATACCGTCCGACTGTTTTCAAGTCGCCGGTGGGAGTGACACGAACTTCATAAGGCAAATCATCCTCCGACATAGCTAAAAGCCGGTTGTTAAAGTAAACCAAACCGGCGTTCGCCACCCCAATGCCTTGGCTGTTATCGACCAAGCCACATAACCCACGAGCATAGAATAACAAAAGCTTGGCTATCCCGGAATGGCCATGGAGTTCTCCGATTGCTTTAGGGAAAACCGGTTTACCGGCGGCTCGTTCTTGGATAAGCCGCTGCGTCTCCGTAAAGCGACAAGCGTAGCTAGCCGAGCCATTTTCAAACTTCACGGCGTAAATCATACCGTCGCCGTCAAACAAATGGTGGCCGGAAGTTGGTTCGAATAATGGATTAGCTCCATTTCTTAGGTAAACACCGTTAATGTGATCCGGGATTTTTCCGATGACTGGTAAAGAGTGTCGAACCGGTTGCTCCGGTACCGGAAAGAAATTTCCGGCGATTTGCACGTCAGGGTTTACGGTTTTGGGTAATGTCTGTTGCTTTTCTCGTGCTGTTAAACCGTTCTCGACGGCGTCCAATGCCATTGCCGCCAGTTTCTGCAACAAGTTCCAATTTTGTGGTGCTGCCGGAGAAGACGAAGAAGAAGGTGATTCATTTGTGGTTTGTTTACATGGCGATTGATTGGGAAAATGGAGGACGGAATGTGTTTGAATGGCACATTGAATGGTTTCAGATTTGAGTTTTTTGGTGTAAGAGATGGAAGATGAAGCTAATTGGGGTTTAGGGGAAGATGGAAATCGGGTTTTAGGGCTGACCCATTTGGAATTTGAAGTAGAAGTTGCAGCCATTGTTAATTGTCGAAGGTTTTGTGGTGGGAGGAGAGAGGGAGGAGAGCGGTGGCAGAGACTGGGGGAGGGAGGAGATATAAATAGTGGTGGGGGAGGTGACACCTTAAAAAATGTAACGGAAGACACGTGTTAGATGGACAGCGATGTTACTCCTTCCCCCTGAACCTGAAGTATGTTTTTTTTAAATCTTTTTTTTACTCAAAGGATCATATTCTATAACTAAATTTACCTTTTGATTATTTTTTGAAATTTATCCAGAAGGGTCTATAATAATTACAGATTTATTAAACAATAAAATTTTAGAGTTTTTGGTCAAGGTCTATAATCATTACAGATATGGTTTAAAACACATTTTCCTTGAATTTGTAATTCCATATTCGTAGATCCATAATAGTTGTCGACCAATGGTTACAAACCTGACTAAAAGACGTTGATTTTTGTCGTTTACTGAGTCCGCAATAATTGCGGACGTGAGTTTCGCAGACCTAATGCCTTTTGAGCAAGTTTGGAAAGAAATGATTAAAAAGTTAATTTGGTTAACCACAATGGTGGTGCATGATTGGTTTGAGCTTGACTCCAAAGATCAAAAATACCAGGAGATCCTGAGTTTAAATCCAAGGAAGAATAAAAATCCCCTTGTGGCTACGGAGGTTCAAATGTGGTGACTCCGGACTATTTGCAAAGCCAGTGGTCGTCCTGGGATTAGTCGGCTCGCATAGCGGTTTGGATATCCAGATTAATAAAAAAAAAAGGTTAATTTGGTTGTGAAATATGTTATTTTTTTACGAATTATATATGAATATAAATTTTAATTTTATTATTTATATATTCTTTTTTAGATGTTTTGTTAATTTTTTTATTTTAATATTGTTATAATTTAAATATTTTATTTGACTAAATTAGGCAAGATTGTTTGATTACTTTGTTTATTATCTAAAATATTTGTACTAAAAGTAGTTTTTGTAGTTGTCCTCATTTGGTAAATAATGTCATGACTTTACTTAAATGCAAGAAATATGATGGGTTCAATCTTAGGGGCCGTTTACTCAAATACTTACCCGGTAATCACTTATCGGTAGGAACCAACACTATAATCTACTTTATCAGATAAGATTGTAGTATATTAAAACGGTATCGTATGCAACAATTTACCCGGTAAACGCTTACCCGGTAAACGCTTACCCGGGTAATAGTCTTTACCATTACTTACCAGTAAGACTCTCTATCCCTATCATCGTTCTTATCGGGTAAAATTTTCAGCCCTTGCCATGTGCATCAGGTGAGGAAAGTTACCCGATCTACACTTACCAGGTAAGTATTTAGTAAACGGCCCCTTAGACCCCTCCATTAGTCTTAGCTGTTGAGTGAGACAAATTACCTATTGATATTGGTGACTTTGGAGGTAGAGTTTCGTGTGAAGCTAGTTGGAGTTATCAGTTAATATTTTTTTTGTCTAAAATGGAAAATGATATTAGAGTAATATACTTGTTTCGTTAGAAATTAGTAAATTTATGGTCTAAAATTATTTTTCTTACAGTTGGTAGTGATGAACTGTTTAAGTTCATTACAACAAAATCGGATTTATAGGACGCTTCCAAGTTCTAAGCTTCCTAATAGACCTCTTTATAGGACTTAGTTTATATGACCAAAAAATAAAGTGTCATATTTAAAGGCGCTGTAATAAGTTTATATGACGTTTTGTTTTTTATGTTTTAATAAGTTTTTTAGGACAATTTTAATATAAAGCGTCCAATTAACAATTTTATAGGACATTATTTAAAAAATTGTCCTATAAAAACACGTGTCTTATAAAAAGTTGGGTTTGTAGGGCACTTTCTCAAAAGTGTCATATGGCTATAAAGTTGCTAATACGACGCTTTGTATTAAAAATGTCCTAAAAACTTGTTAAAACGCCCAAAAACGTCATATAAACTTATTATAACGCATTTAGATAGGACATTTTATATTTTATTCCTATAAAGCAGTCTATTGGGATGCTTAGAGATTCGAGACGTCCTAGAAACCCAATTTTCTTGTAATGGTTGGCCAGTTTGAATGCATTTAAAGTAACTGAACCTATTAGAAAATATTTAAAGCATAACCCAACAACATGAAGTAAAATTTTGCGTGAATTACACTTATGAAAAGAGATAACCAATTGTCTATAATTAACATGTAGATCAAAGGCAACACCAACAACATGTCTGGCATAGGGATGGTGATTTACCCCGACCCGGTGGGGAACCCGGTTCACCCGACCCGAACGGGGATTCCCACTAAAATGGGTCCCGGGGCCAGGGATCCCCGGTAGACACAAACCGGGGCCGGGGGATGTTACTCAAACCGGGGCCGGGGATCCCTGGTAGAATCAAAATAAAGGACACTATTTACGGGGTTTGACTAGGGATTGACCGGATTTTGACTGGGGATTGTTAGAGATTTGACCGGGAACTGGGGCCGGGGGACGTTACTACAAACCGCGGTCGGGGCCGGGGATTACAAAACCCGCCCCATCCCCTCCCCGTTGCCATGCCTAGTCTAGTAGAAGATACATATAACATATAAGAAGGGTATAACAAATAAGAGGAGGTATCAGGTTCATCTGGTTGGATTGGTTTCAAATGGGCCTAATCTAATTCCAACCCAATACATGGGGTTTAAATATTTTACAACTTGATTAAGTACCAAGTGATTTCGGGTTGGATTTAGGGTCGTTCTTTAGCATGTTAAATTTATGATTTTGAACAAATGCCCAACATTTTAGGTCTTAATTTTATAATTAGGGGTTTTCATCAACGAATGTAAAACTATAGCTCACTTCACCTTAATACCTCTCTAATTTCTATCAGAAGGCAAAGTAGTTTGTCTCATCATCTTTTCTCTAATTTGTATATATGCATCTTTGTTATCTCAATTTGTAATGTAATCAAAAGTTTCAAGTGTAAAAAAACCTCCAAAAAGATTAAAACATCTCTCCTCGGATTGGCAGGGTTTTTGTGCATTCTTACCAACTAGTCATAATGAGCGTGACACACACACACATGGGTCCATTCAAGAGAGAATTTGTTAGTTTTTGATAACTATGAGATCCAATCTCAACCACTTATCAATGAAAAAATTAGGAAACTAATATCTTTGATAATTTGACTTAAAATTTTAATTAAAGGTCATTTCAAGTATTTTAAATTTTTTTATTTCTCCTCTGTCTCTATCTCCTATTTCCAGCCTTCTATAAACCTTATTCCGACGAACACCACGTGATACCTAAAATACATACAATGTGATACCCAAAACACACCAAGTAAACTTCGAGACCACTGTTATACCAATTGTGGTACCACTGTGACACCAACTATGGTACCATTGTGATACCAATTGTAATATCAACTATGGTACCTACGTTGTATGTATGTATGTATGTATGTATGTATGTATGTATGTATGTATGTATGTATGTATGTATGTCTACAATGTGCACAATGTGTGTTGTATGTGTGTATGCAATTTGTATGTATGTAGTGTGTGTATATGTGTTGTAGATCTGGAGGTTGGGTTGGAGAATATGCAATGTGTATGTGTGCAGTGTGTGTGTGTATGTGTTGTAGATCTGGAGGTTGGGTTGGAGAAGAAGGTTGGGATGGAGATGACCACCAGAAGGGAAGGTTCTCTCGGATGGAGGGTGTTGGAGGGTGATCGATGAGGGCATTTGAGAGGGAGATCGAGGGGAGTGTCGATGGAGATGGTGGTTAGTAGCGGGAATGGGGGAAGGGAGATGGGTAGTAGGGGGTTATAAGGACGAAGATGGGGCTAGTTGTTAGGGATGTGAGATGCTCACAGGTGGGTGTTCAGTGGTTGATTGTCCGAGACGACGTCTTGGTCACACAAGATGACGAGAGGAGGTCACCAAAATGATGGGTGCCGGAGAAGGCCATCATATTTTTGGTCTATGTGTGTCCATGTATGTGTGTGTGTGTGTATATATATATATATATATATATTAAAGTAATTAAACTAATTAAAGTAAATTGGAATATTAAACTAATTAAAGTAAATTGAATAATCAACACAAATTACTAATTTACCTTTTTTTTATTTTAAGAAAAATATTAATTATCTTAAATGATTGGCTCACGTTAGATCTCATGGTTACCACAAACTAATTAGTTCTCATTTGATTAGGCTTATATATATATATATATATATATATAGAGAGAGAGAGAGAGAGAGAGAGAGAGAGAGAGAATAAGTTTACTTTGCGAACCACGTTATTTATACAAACCGTATAAACCTAATTCATCCAATCATAATTTTTTATTTTGTTTACTTTTTTGTAATTATGAGAAGTTGATTAATCATTTTTATTGTAAAGAGTGTTAATCATGGATATTATTATCTTCATTATATTAATTTTAGAAAAATACATTAAACAATTTCATAAAAATTTCATAACCATATATGAAACAACTTTATAAAAAAATTATTATATGAAACAATTTCATAATTTTTTTCCATAAGATTAAATAATAAAATCGACAGATAAATGTAGCTTACATGATTTATACAAATAAATGTGGTTTGCATTTTATCGCTACACACCCTCTCTCTTTTAATTAACAAATGGCATACAATAAAATACTAAGCCCCCCCTGCAAGTACATTCCAATTCTGCAAACTTTTGTAACTATTAAACTTTTTTTTTTCTGGAATACATATATATATATATATATATATATATATATATATATATATATATGTTGGTTATTATAGAACCTTCGATTTTTGTGCAACCAATACAATCCAATCTCAACCGTCCATTTCATTTTATTAATATGTGATTTCAAAAAAGTTTTGATTGTTTCTTAATATAAAGTATTGATCATAATTAATGAACCATATTCATCTTCCATAAATATTCAAATCATAATAAATGAACTCTCATCATTTCCATAAATATCTCAATTCATTGAGTTATATTGGTTGTACAAATACACTGAGTTGTA